AAGAGTGAAAAATTTAAGGGGGTCTGAATACTTTCCGTACCCACTGTATATATATATAATTGATTTGTTTACCTTTTAGAATGAATTTGTTTGTGTTGGTGTGTGTGTATACACAAACAAATTAATTTGAAAAGGAAACATATATTAAAAATAAATAAATAAATATATATATTATGTATATATAATAAGTTTGTGCTGGAGTGTGTGTATACACAAACAAATTCATTCTAAAAGGAAATATATATTTCTTTTTAGAATTAATTTGTACATGAATGAAGCAAAGCAAATATGTTCATGTCTGACATTCATTATAGCATTTATATAGAATAACACTTTGGCCATGCATTAAATGCACGTCCTTGAAAGAGTGCAGTTTGCTGACATATTTACACTAACTTCTCAGGTAATGTCCGTGGTATGATGACAATGACAGTGATTAGCCTACATCAAATATATTTTAATTGTTTGATCAAAATTATTGCTAGGAACAATTCAGTTGCGCCCCTACTAAATTCTACGTATTTGGAAAAAAAAATAATAGTAAAAGCTTCCAAAGTCTAATGTAGTCTGGGATCGATCGCGTTATCTGCCTCAGGCAACGGCAGCACGGTGCACGAGTTAAATGAACATTTCTTCACTTTAATACATAACATGCATAACATGAGATGAAGCATTTTTATATTAAAAAAGTTCACAATGTTCACAATGTAGCCTAATAAGCCTAATTTTCTTATTTTACATAAAACTGTTATTATGTTTTGTGCTCACATTTATTATATTGTAAACATTGTTTTAAATTATGTGCTGGTATTACCTTATGAACTGTGATTACATTATAATTTGTCACTGTGTGTTCATAATGTAATACATATCTCATACAATAACCTATTACATTATGTGAAAAATTTGTATTACATTGAAAAATTATTATTACATTATGAGCTCAAGATTTTATTGCGTTTTGAGAAAATTATTACATTATGTAATACAATAATAATGTAATACTTATTACATTATGTGCAGTTTTTACATTATGAGTTGCTACGCCGTTGTTTGAGAATCACTTATTTAAAGGAATTTGTTTAAAACTTCATAACATATGGCCCCATTTATGAAACATGAAATACGATAATGTTTTGCCATTCATTAAATCATTTTACTTTAATAATTTAATCATTTTATTTCATTAACAAGTCTTAACAAGTTGATTTAAAAATTAATTGAGACGATTAATATTACCTCTTTGTTGCTCATGCAAGAGTTGCTGAACCTGCAGAGTGGCACATAATAATATAGAGATCATAAGAGGGGCTTGATGAATCTGATAAGGACAAGCACCATGCTGTGGTGTGTCTTAGTCCACTGTTAGGGTCCAGTCCAGGCTGTTGCTGTTGCTGTTCCTTTAGATTGGACAGCTGGACTTCCATACCCACCTGATGTCATTGTTATATCATCATGGCATGGGACCTTTGGGGAAAGCATCAAGTTCGGTCAGAAATCGGCATGGGACCTTTGGGGAAAGCAGTGAGATGTGTTTGTGTGTGTGTGTGTGATATCGCTGTAGTACATCTGTTCTTGCTTAATACTACCAGACGGTGAATTAGAGTGTAATATTAACCCTGATCTCCACTTACATTTTTACACATGGCATCACATTTAATTACTTGTTAACTAGTCAGCTGAGGTCATGTTTTTCACTCTCAGTTTCCCTCTAAGCTCTCTGTATGTCCCCTTTCTGTATGATTCCTTCACTGCAGCATAGGGAGTATATGTATAATTACCCCATCAAGTTCGGTCAGAAATCGTGGTGTAATCTTTGATGATCAGCTGACTTTCAAAGACCACATTGCAAAAACTGCTCTATCTTGCAGGTTTGCATTGCACAACATCAAGAAAGATCAGCTTGCCGCACAACTTCTTGTCCAGGCCCTTGTCATTTCATTTTAAAAAAAGCATCTGCTAAATGAATAAATGTAAATGTAAATATGTAATAGGTAATTGATTGTTATGACTATCAACATAGTGTGGATATCTATCTATCTTAAAGGGGTCATCGGATGCGACATGCACTTTTACAAGCTGTTTGAACTGAAATGTGTGTTGGCAGTGTGTGTACACAACCGCCCTATAATGGTAAAGATCCACCCAGTGTTTTTTTTTTTTTTATCTCATTAAATCATTTCCCCTTCCTCAAATCGAGCCGATCTCAGATCCCCTCCCACGATTGTTTGATTGACAGTAGCGTTTCAGCACAGACTGGACTGGTGTCCAGGCTAAAGTTTACCGTCTCTCAGAGAGGGGCGGGGTGAGCAGAGCTCATTAGCATTTAAAGCGGCGTGCAAGAAAACAGCTTGCTCTGAAAAGAGCTGTTTTTAACGGGGTAAAAATGGTGTTGTTTTACACTACCATTGACAAATATTAACCAAACTATGTTACAGACTTTTCATTAAGACCCTAAAGAATCATATCAGCTTGTGGAAAATTGGCATCCGATGACACCTTTAAGGCATTATGACAAAACTTGATAGTACACTACAGGAAGCGGCATGCAAGAAAACAGCTTGCTCTGAAAAGAGCTGTTTTTAACGGGGTAAAAATGGTGTTGTTTTACACTACCATTGACAAATATTAACCAAACTATGTTACAGACTTTTCATTAAGACCCTAAAGAATCATATCAGCTTGTGAAAAATTGGCATCCGATGACCCCTTTAAGGCATTATGACAAAACTTGATAGTACACTACAGGGCTTGAGGGCTATATTGGTTATAAATTGTGTGGATCCTTCTTACTATTTCAGATACATTTATTACTAACTTGTGCATAACATTAACCATTAAGGCAAACATTTTATCTGGTCTCATTTAAAATTTTGTTTTTATTCTGACCATTCCTATGAAATCTAAATGTAACTATGTATTAACTGAGTCCTCACCCTCAAATTAATGAATGAATGCATTTTTTACATGAACATTTCATGGTCAATTTGCCTCGCATGTAAATATGAAACTGGTCAGGATTGATTTATTTAATGGTTAAAAAGTTAGTTATTCATTACAAATATAATTCTGGTTTGTAATATTTCAATTTGTTTTAATCAGCACAAAGTAATGATTACAGTCTGGAATGTACATGAGTGTGATAAATCGGAGTAAAAAATTAGTGCAGTGCGCTATACAGTATAGGGAAAGAAATTGTCCCCTAACAATGCTAAAAATAGGGAGTGCTTTCAGACACAGCTTGCAGTAATACATTCTGTACGGCATAGAAAATAAATGTGAACGTAACAGGTTTCTGAAGGAGGAAGTATTATATGCTGCGCGATAAGGTATTTATTGAATGTACTCCCACATATAGCTAGAGGAGTTGAAAAACCTGCAAGGCATGCATTTAAGCATTTAATATTGTGTGCTTACTTTTTGCAGTGTTGTTTGATTTCTATACCTAGTATTTATTTATATAGTTTGGGAAAATGTAAGGGTATACGGAGGCCATCAGGCTTCTCATTTCAAATAGCTTTTATATTTGTTGTCTGTTCTGCTGACAAGAACAGTTTACTATGAAAATAGCTAGCTGTGTAAAGCTATGCACCAAGAAGATTGTTGTAAATTATCAGTATTTGTGAAATGCTGTCACATTCATGCTTTTTTTTAAGCTTTTGTGCATAAAGCTTCCACATCAATTACTCTACTTCATTAGAGATATTGTTAATATATAATATTCTTTCATATCACATAGCTTCTCATTTGCTTTT